TAATCTGGCTTTGGTGAAAAGCCTTCGATAGTTTGGTACTGTCAGGTTTTTAATGTAAGATGTTAACTTAAAGACATACCCATATTGTACTGCCAGCGGACTACGGACTGTGTGTGATTGAGATCACAAGTCACTGTGTGTATTATCCCATAATCTTTGCTTTAACATATTTTGGGCGCCTTCATAACCCAGGTAATATAGTTGGGGGGGGGTGACAGACCAATAGAGGTGGCTTTTTTAGCCATGGTTTTCTGCCATTTGCTGATAAATTCCTCATTGGTCAGCTCCCCCCCTTCAGTGTTTCTCATTTTTCACTGTTCACCCAACCACAGACGTTTGAGTAAAGTGGAGTAGAGAGATCAACCAGTTTTAAAAAGGAGAAATAGCTGAGATGGGCACAACACAGAAAGTTAATACAACAGAACCCAGCTCCCTTCTCAGGGTCCTCAAACCTTGCTTTAAACTGCCATCGCCCCTTGCTCACTCTACTCAAACCTCTGCCACTGTTTAAGATGATCACTTTTTCCCTCCCAGTTTTCTCGGTTCCCACTTATTCAAACCTCTGCTGTTATATAAAACCGCTATCCCCCCCACATCACTGTCTCTCCCTTCTCATTCCCATGCCATCCTCACAGGTTGCATTCTCTTTTACTCCCTTATGTCACCCTGACTTCGTGCAAATCCGGGATTGTGAACACAGTGCCACAAATCCTCCCATGGGGGCTGCCTGATGACAGCATTACATTTTTATGTATATAGGATGGAAAATCATTAGGACTAGTTATAGGCTGCTCTTGTAGGATCAATACTAACTAGACTCCTTACGGGGTCCTCGCTGCGGGATCACATTCACCCGGTGCTATACCAGCTGCACTGGCTCCCGGTGGAGTACAGGATCAGATTTAAGGTGCTGGTTTTAACCTTTAAAGCCCTATACGGCCTAGGACCCTCGTACCTACGGGACCGCTTCTCCTGGTATGCCCCACAGAGGAACCTACGGTCTGCAAATAAAAACATCCTGAAGGTCCCAGGCCTCAGAGAGGTTAGGCTGGCCTCAACCAGAGCCAGGGATTTTTCTGCTGTGGCTCTGATCTGGTGGAACGTTCTGTCACAAGAGACCAGGGCCCTGTGGGACTTGACATCTTTCCGCAGGGCCTGTAAGACAGAGCTGTTCCACCAAGCCTTTGGCCAGGGCACAGCCTGACTCCCTCCTTTGGCAATCTTCACAGAACTCTAGCCCAATGGTTGCCATCAATTTGATTTGAATTAATTTTATAATGAAATGATTTTAGAATGTTGTATTATTTTATTGTTGTTAGCCGCCCTGAGCCCGGTTTCGGCTGGGGAGGGCGGGATATAAATAAAATTTATTATTTATTATTATTATTAACCTGAGAGAAAGTTCAGACATGGTAGGGAGTTGGGCTTTGCCTGCACTTTTTGCCATATAGAAGGTTGTAGCTGATCTACAGTTTGACTCTGAAACTGGAAGTAACCCCAGAAAAATATCTGGAATACAGCTAGGGTTTGTTAAAGTAACAGATTGGGTGGAAGAGTTCCTGTCCATCCCTACTATGCTTTGTCTCCCCACCTCTACTTTATAAAGGTTAGGCAGGACTCAGGCTGGACCAGTACTATAACATGCAGGTCCTTGAGAGCCAGTGTGGTGTAGTGGTTAAGAGCGGTAGTCTCGTAATCTGGGGAACCGGGTTCGCTTCCCTGCTCCTCCACATGCAGCTGCTGGGTGACTTTGGGCTAGTCACACTTCTCTGAAGACTCTCAGCCTCACTCACCTCACAGAGTGTTTGTTGTGGGGGAGGAAGGGAAAGGAGAATGTGAGCCACTTTGAGACTCCTGAAGGAGAGTGAAAGGCGGGATATCAAATCCAAACTACTACTACTACTCTTCTTCTTCTTCTTCTTCTTCTTCTTCTTCTTCTTCTTCTTCTTCTTCTTCTTGCAAGGAGTCAAACCCAGATCTGTGTCTCTCAGAAATTTGGCTTTTTCAGGAGTGATGCATTGTGTAGAAGGAGCAAAATTGCCCGTCACCAGTAACAGCTGGTTGGAAGGTATCAAGGCCAGTGCGGTACATGATGCAAAGATGTAAAGGGTAGTTTCCTTTGTTGCTAGGCTTACAAGGCTGTGTTCATATTATATATTTAATAATAATAATAATTTATTTATATCACGCCCTCCCCAGCCGAAGCCGGGCTCAGAGTGGCTAGCAACAATAAAAGTAACACAGTTTACATAAAATCACAATCAATTAATTGAAATGCATTCTAAAATCAATTCGTTCTAAAATCAATTCAAAATGAAATTAATGGCAACCATTGGGCTAGAGTTCTATGAGGATTACAGAAGGAGAGAGGGGGTCAGACTGTGCCTTGGCCAAAGGCCTGGTGGAACAGCTCTGTCTTGCAGGCCCTGCGGAAAGATGTCAAGTCCCGCAGGGCCCTAGTCTCTTGTGACAAAGCGTTCCACCAGATCGGAGCCACGGCTGAAAAAGCCCTGGCTCTGGTTGAGGCCAGCCTAACCTCCCTGTGGCCCAGGGTCTCCAAGATGTTTTTATTTGAAGACCGTAAGGTCCTCCGTGGGACATACCAGGAGAGACGGTCCCGTAGGTACAAGGGTCCTAGGCCGTATAGGGCTTTAAAGGTTAAAACCAGCACCTTAAACCTGATCCTGTACTCCACCGGGAGCCAGTGCACCACTAAGATACCACTTTATGTACCCATTATGTACTTTCAATGCTTTAAACGTGTGGTGTGACCGTGACCCCAGGAGCTTTCAGTTACTTAATTCTCGTGGTCCAGTTGGATGCCCTGGCTGACAGCTTAGGAATCATTACGTTGGATAGGCTTGGAAAGGGGCATTTTTAAAACACAGGAGGAAAAACAAACAAACAAGGCATGATTTATTTCTCAGAAAGTTTATTTGTATTTTCATTACAAATTGGAAATGGTGGGTATACATAATCATTATAAATATTAATAAATACTCTTAAATGCGGTAAAGAATTCAAATAAATAAATAAATAAATAGAACAACACAAAATGCATTAAACCACATTTCCCCTATTAGCTAGGAAACTTCCGGGGGCTCTTTTTTCAACAATTCCCTTGTTGTTCGAGATTAGGAATATCCAACTATGGAGAAAGCCATTTTACATTTTCCAGTGATGTAAGAGTCCTGTAGTTTTAATAGTGTGGGAAATCATCATTCATAACAGGGAAAGCATACATTGAAACCTCTTCTGTATACCATCTTAATAGTTCTAGGCACGGAGCCAGTCCTGCGGCTTGGTTAATTGACAGTATAATATCAATGTTTCCTTAGAACTGAGCATTGGGGCCACAATCGCGCATACTTCTGTGGGAGTAAATGCCAGTGACTACGGTGGGACCTACTTCTGAGTAAATATGACCATGATTGTCTGGCACCCTTATCCTAAGAACAGGTCAGCAAAATTGTCTCGTTATTAATAAGGTCTAGTATCTTGAAGAGTTCAGAGTTCAGTGCAAACAAAAAGCCGTTCTGAAAAGCACTATAGGTTATTATAGTGTGCTAAGGAAAAGTGTGAAATCTCTCCAGCTTATTGTAGGTTTATTTTCCTACTTGCACTTTCAAGAGATTTGAAGAAAGGAAGAAAACCAGCTTGAAGTCTTGAAGCACCCCATGGGAGCTCCTGGGGCAGCTTTTGCAGAGATGAACAAAATGTGTACATCAAATGTGGAGAATCTGGGTTTGTTTCACTTACATAAAGGGTGGCATCCACTTAAGTCATACTCAGGAGTCTGCCCACAGAAATCTGTGGACTTAACTAAAGTCTACAGATTTCAGTGTTTCTGCTTTGAGTATGACAGTTGGCTATAAGTCAAAGAGCAAGGGATATGTTAACAGATTTTAAAAGGTGGATTTTAAAACATGTAATTTTTAACTTGCAGTCTGAAGTGATACTGTCTCCACTACAGTGGCGTAGCGTGGGGGGTGCAGGGGGGGCCGGCCGCACCGGGCGCAACATCTGGGGGGCGCGCGCTCGCACTCGCAGCTCTCTGCCCCCTGCTAAAATCCACGGGTTAGGAGGTGCAAATTACTTGCCTTGCCCCGGGTGCTGACAACCCACGCTACGCCACTGCTCCACTAAGGGCTCTGGCATATAATTCTGCTGATCATGTAGCTTGGCTTGTTTCTTAGAGCTCAGCAGGATTATGTAAGTTGAAGGAAATATGTTCCATTGTGGTAGTATTAATAACTTGCCATCTCTTCACGCTACACCAAAAATTCAGAGCTTGAAAGGCTACAAAAACATTAGGGCTGAAACAAATGTATTTGCTTTGTATCTCTGTCCCCCCACCCTCCCATACACATGCCAAGTATTATTAAAACCCCAGAGAGACGTTTTTTCTATTTTCCTCATCCATGGCTTATATGGCTTATATATTCACCCACAGCTTCAGTCAAGAAAAATTTGGTCCTTGCAAAGAGAACCAGGCAGTCAATTTGCTACGTTTCCTGGTTCCGATTCAGCTGTAGCTGAAGTTGTTCCAGGTTTTGCTCTGTTTCAGACCATAATGGTTTAGTAGCCAATCTGTCACGCTTACACTGCTTCATTTCTTCTGGGAATATTCAAATAATCCCTTACAATGATTTGCGCAGGAGAGAAGCATATTCATATTTGTTATACTGTATTCTGCTCTTAATCAAGGGACGCGGGTGGCGCTGTGGGTTAAATCAGGGCTTGCTGATCAGAAGGTTGGCAGTTCGAATCCCCGCGACGGGGTGAGCTCCTGTTGCTCGGTCCCTGCTCCTGCCAACCTAGCAGTTCGAAAGCACGTTAAAGTGCAAGTAGATAAATAGGTACCGCTCTGGCGGGAAGGTAAACAGTGTTTCCGTGTGCTGCGCTGATTCGCCAGAAGCGGCTTAGTCCTGCTGGCCACATGACCCGGAAGCTGTACGCAGGCTTCCTCGTCCAATAAAGCGAGATGAGCGCCGCAACCCCAGAGTCGGCTGCAACTGGACCTAATGGTCAGGGGTCCCTTTACCTTTTACCTATTCTGCTCTTAATAAGGGATGGTTAAACACAGTGGACAATTGGTAGTAAAAGTTGCAGCATAGTAGAGAAGGAGAGAAGGGAGGGAAACAGTGGTGTATTTGACACAGGATCAGACCATTGGTCCATCTTACCCCATGCTATATCTATCAACCTGTCAGGCAACAACTCTTGGGGATACTGGACATTACAAAATTATCCCTTCTGTGAGTTATGGCTGCTTCCAAGACAAGTTCTCAGCATGAACCTGCCTTATATTGTCAGACCATGGGTTATTCTGATTCAGTACTGTTTAGCCTCGAGTTGCCATAATTCAAAATGTAAAAACCAGGGCACCCCAAAAGTTGCCGAGGTTTTGTTTTTTTTAAATAGACAAAAACGCCTAAACCTTCCAGAATTTTAAATATATATATAAATTATTTCTTAAACCCTTATTCTAAACTGATACTGTGAACTGTATCAGAGTCCTAAAGCATTTTTTCAAATACTTTAAAATAATTGTTCAGATTATGTCCTTGTCAGGACAGAAAACAGGTTATTGTTACAAACTGGTTCAGGTTTTGATATCAGTCCTAGGGCTTGAAAACCACCTGCTGAACGTTGCACCGTTGGGGTCTCCATTTTCGGCATGTGAATCATCTACATCATGATATGTGGATGATTGTGCCTTTGGGTTGTCAGAGAGGTTTCCGGCTGATAGGATACTGCCACAGGGATCGGCACTCGCATTTCTCGTATGTCTGCTAGGTTTTGGTGTGTTGAATTGGACTAAAGGAATTTCGTTCCTTCTGGCCAAGAATTGGGAGTACGGTGGTGGATTCATACCGGGGAATAAAGGTTGCTTAGCTTTTCCTAGGCTGACGAGATAGTTGTACTTGGGAGACTGGTAGACATCATAGCCATTTTCCAGGGTCCAATGTCTGAAAGTGCAGTCCTCATAACTGAAGAAGTGCTGAAGGAAGAAACAAGAACCACAATCAGAACAGTATTAAAATTCAAGTGGAAAATGCTCATCAAAATTCTCTGCTACGATATTTGATTTCAACATTTTATATTTTAGTATTTTTAATTGCATGTGCAATGGAATTAGCATTGGCAGTATTTTATAGATAACAGTGTTACTGTTTGACAGATTACAGCTTGTGAGATGTTTGGTACCTTCCAAAACATTCACATCTAAAACATTTAAACTCGTGAGTTATTAGTCTTTCCCATTGCATTGTCAATGGTTCTTTGTTTTTACTTATTTTCTCTCTCCAAGTGATAACCCTTCTACCTTTACCAAAAATAACACAAAATGAAAAATAAATCCAGATTCTGCACAGAAAAATACCACATTCAAAACAAATAATGCTGGGAGGAGGGGATCAGAAATCCACAGAAGCAGAAAAGTGATGAAATCCTTTTTTTAAAGTGTGATAACTAAGCTTTATCAAATGGTTATATGTCCCGTGATAAGCTACCATTTAATAAATGGACATCTGGACTTTTTTTGCAGTGAATAAAGATATAAAGCAGGGGTGAGAACCTCCATCTCATGAGCCAAATGTGGCTTGGCAGGGGTACCACTCTGGCCCATAGAACTATTCCTTGCAAACAGTGCCCAGCTGCCCTGGCATCTCCTTGCTGGTGTAGTGGGAGTGGGCCTTGTTCCAGGAGCACAGAGTGGTTTGCATTTAAACCACTGCTAAAATGGAAAGGAAAAGCTCCTTTTTAGCAGCAGTTTCAATAAAACATCGACCAGTGGACTAGACCACCCACTGGACAATTATCTGATGTCATTATGTCATAAGGTGATGGGCAGATGGGTTGTCTTAGGTAAAGGTAAAGGGACCCCTGACCATTAGGTCCAGTCGTGACCGACTCTGGGGTTGCGGCGCTCATCTCGCTTTATTGGCCGAGGGAGCCGGCGTACAGCTTCCGGGTCATGTGGCCAGCATGACTAAGCCGTTGGTCTGCAGGGGAAGAGATAAATAAAGATGTGCCCCCTCTTGCCTGCCCCAAAGCTTCTCCATCCCTGATATAAAGCAGCATACTTTGATCTGAAATACTTGTTGAGGAACATGCAGATTGGCAGTTAAGTTTGAGTGTTTGCCAAGATTGTGTGCATATTTGTGGGTGGAAAGAGAGTTCACATCTTCCAAGTTTGGCGGGTGGCGCTGTGGGTTAAACCACAGAGCCTCGGGCTTGCCGATCAGAAGGTTGGCGGTTCGAATCCACGCGACGGGGTGAGCTCCCTTTGCTCGGTCCCTGCTCCTGCCAACCTAGCAGTTCGAAAGCACGTTAAAGTGCAAGTAGATAAATAGGTACCACTCCAGCGGGAAGGCAAACGGCATTTCCGTGCACTGCTCTGGTTCGCCAGAAGCGGCTTAGTCATGCTGGCCACATGACCCAGAAGCTGTACGCCGGCTTCCTCGGCCAATAAAGCGAGATGAGTGTCGCAACCCCAGAGTCGGTCACGACTGGACCTAATGGTCAGGGGTGCCTTTACCTTTTACCTATTCTTAGGTTAACAGCCTCACAGTTATGTAAAGCCCTGGGTTTCACAATATCAAACTGAAGAGGGCAAATTGTGCAGCCCTCTGTGTTGTCTGTAGCACAGGTTGTGGCATGCCGGTGGTGTTGTGCAGGCAGAAAGAAATGTGGGACATCCTTCATAAATCATTGTGTCTCGTAAGAACTGCAGGGGCCTGAAGGAAAACGATATCCCCGGCATAAGCGAAAAGGTAAAGGACAATGGTTTCCTTAGAAGTGCAGCGGAACTGGCTTATTGCATCTTCAAGTTATAGAATCACACTTTGGCTGTTGTGGCACGTGGCACCACTTGAAAGATGCTGGAAAAATTCATATGAGAACTCACCGATCCAAAGATATTGCCATTAATATCCATACAGAGGAAGCGCCCAGTTTTTACGCCATTTATCACCACATAGCCTGCACCTTCAGATTTGATCATCAGGGCACCTGAAATTTAAATGGTTAAACATTAGGAGATAATTTAATGCCGTAAACCAAAGATGACCATCTGGGGGCCATAGGGCAAGACCCAGTCCCAAAGTATTAAGAGTTATCTGGCTAACCCTTCCATTTTTGAGTTGAGGTATGGCAAAAAAGCTTGCCCACAATTTTAATCGGAACAGGAAAGTTCTAAGAAAAGATAGTGTATTCTGTTATGCTATCACTTCATTTCGAATTTGGTTTACAATATGTTTGCTAATATTTATATGTAATGCTATACTTACATAATATTTATATGTAATGTATAAGGGACGCGGGTGGCGCTGTGGGTAAAACCTCAGTGCCTAGGACTTGCCAATCGTATGGTCAGCGGTTCGAATCCCCGCGGCGGGGTGAGCTCCTGTCGTTCGGTCCCAGCTCCTGCCCACCTAGCAGTTCGAAAGCACCCTTAAGTGCAAGTAGATAAATAGGTACCGCTTTATAGTGGGAAGGTAAACGGCGTTTCCGTGCCCTGCTCTGGTGCTGGCTCGCCAGAGCAGCTTCGTCACGCTGGCCACGTGACCCGGAAGTGTCTTCGGACAGTGCTGGCTCCCGGCCTCTTAAACGAGATGAGCATGCAACCCCAGAGTCGGTCACGACTGGCCCGTACGGGCAGGGGTACCTTTACCTTTATACTTCTGTACATGCTGAAATGTGCCGTATGAGGAGCTGGCCAATTGGCAAACCAACTCTTGTGTTACAAAGATGACTGCAAATGTGAGATTAAGGCTGGCAGCATTAACCCTGCCATGTGGGAATCCCTTGCAGATGACCGCAGTGCCCCGCGCCACTAGCCTCTATGGGTAAGACGCCCCTGGATGAGCTGTTCCTGGTTACAAACTTGGAAGCTTGAATAAAGTGGGTGGATAGATTCATGTTGCCACTGGTGTACCAGCTTGGTTGTAACTATTGAATTTTGATGACTGGGAAGCTATACGTGTTGCAAGTGCAGGACAAGCATTGTTATTATTATTATTATTATTATTATTCACTTATCCAAAGATAAGTATGAACGTACATATCGTTCGTTCCCCGTGGAAAAGCAAAGAATCAATCATTTATTTGTATGCCTCCTTTCCAAAGTTCAAACCATGCTCAAGACGGCTTATAACACATGCAAAATATGTAACTATAAATGTAACAGAAGTAGTCATGAACAAAATATTGAGTACACAACCAAATTGAAAATTTTTCACATAAATCATAAGATCCAAAATAAAGATATAAAAAATTAACAACTCCCACCCCCAACAAAAACCCCTAAACAATACCTCTGCCCCAATCTGTGTATGTGTGTATGCATGCTTCCTTGCAGATTGGGTTGCCCCTGCCTGTTTGAAATGGTAACACCATTCTTCAAGAAGCCCTCCCTAGATTTGGAAAATCTAAGTACCGGTAACTACTGGCCAGTTGCCAATACAGTGGTACCTCTGGTTACGTACTTAATTCGTTCTGGAGGTCCGTTCTTAACCTGAAATTGTTCTTAACCTAAAGCACCACTTTAGCTAATGGGGCTTCCCCCTGCCACCGCACTACCGGAGCACGATTTCTGTTCTCATCCTGAAGCAAAGTTCTTAACCCAAGGTACTATTTCTGGGTTAGCGGAGTCTGTAACCTGAAGCATATGTAACCTGAAGCGTATGTAACCCGAGGTACTACTGTATCTCCTTCTTGGGCAAGGTTTCTGAGCAGGTGGTTGTGGACCCGATCCAGATGTCTTGCAGGAAACTGGTCTTCTAGATCCATATCAATTGGGGTTTAGGTCTGGCTTTGGCACAGAAACTGCTTTGGTCACCTTGTTTGAGAACCTCTGTCTGGAGAGACGTGGGAAACGTGTCCTTGTTAATTCTCCTCAGCCTCTCAGCGGCTTTTGATACCATTGACCATGGTATCTTTCTGGACCGATTGTTTGAGCTTATTACACCAATCCTGGCCCGACGGCACTGGCTACCGATTAGTTTCCGGGCCCAATTCAAAGTGCTGGTTTTGAGCTATAAAGCCATAAGTAGCTCAGAACCATAATACCCAAGTCTCTCGTGATATGAGCTGGCCCAGACCCTGTACTCATCCCTTGTGGCCTTTCTTTGTGTGCCTCCTCCTGTCAAAACCAGGCCTAAACTCCAGTTGAAATGGATCTAGAAAACCAATTTCCTTCAAGGCCCCTGGTCTGGAGACAACACGAGAACAGCCCTTTTCTATAGTGGGTCCCCGCTTGTGGAATGAATATTTCCACTTACAAAATATAGGTTCTAATTCCCCCTAAAATTTGGAAAATGCAGACGTGTCCAGGAAACGCTCCCTGTTCCCTATGCAAAGCTGTGCTTCAATTTCTCTGCAGTGAAAGGAATGAATAAATCCGATTCTGTATATATTTGAAATTTAAGGCACGATGCAGTTGACGTTTATTTTTTGACTGAATCGTGCTTTTAATTAGAGCTCAGTTTCTGGTTTTTCTTAATGGAAACAAACCATGGGCACGTTCTCTTTCTAATAAGTCTGCCACTTTTACAGATATTGAAATATTAAAGCTCCATATTAAACATTAGGACTAGAGAGCAGCCCTGGGCTTCATGTTTCTCCACCAAAAATGGGATTAATAGTGGACTGGGTAATGCAGCTGTTATAATAATACTTCTAGGAAGCCACTAACAGCAAATGAAGGCAGCCCATTTTCCCTTGTTTATTCCCAGCATTCTTCTCCTGGAGGGGCAGGATGGAGGGAATGTCGTTTTAGGTCACATTTTTATTGCAAACCTCTGCAATTCGCACCTTACCAAACTATATGCAAACTCAAAGAAACCTGCCCTTCACAATCCACACTCCTCCAAACTTTGCAACACAGTTCTCCAAGCAAATAACGTGCACGGAAATGCTTATGTTGCCATCGATTTATTTCGTAAAGTTTATACGCCTTTCGATTGTAAAAGAAACAAAGAACAAAACCCCAAAGCAGTTCACAAAAGGTTAGGGGCTTCGTTTCCGTAAGAATGCATAGATGAAATGAAAACAACATACAGAAATGAATCGTGTTAGGCATAATTGCTTGGGGAAATGTGTGGATGGGGAGAAATGCGGATTAAAATGCTGACAAATTTTCACGAGGACTTTTTTTTAAAAAGGCAAGCAACGTTGTAATGTGGTGGACTGGATTTATTACTGGAAAAATGAGAAACTGAGAGAAACATCTCCCCCTCCCCTCAACCTTTCAGTGGTACTTACTGTAAACGGTTTGGTGAGGACTTCCATCCACATGGCCATTGGAGTTGATTTGCAGGTGGAAGCTGTTTCTTGCTGTGGACGTGTACAGGTGCAAGAGTCTGTCTGTGTTTCCCCAGTTCTGGTTGAGTAGCGGCGAGGCGTTGGGAAAAGCAGTAGCTGCCTTGCAGCCAAAGGCGGCCAGCAGGATGAACCTCAGGAAGCTGCAGCGAGTGACCGGGCACATGGCTCTTCTTTCTGAGTGGCTGAAACCTGAAACTCGATCCGTTAATCTGTTCCTCCCTTCGCCTGTGTCTCCCTCTTCTTTGGAGTGAATCCTCACATAGGCTCCCTACAATTTTTGCAGCAGCTTTATAAAGGGCAGCTGGGTGACACGGGATCCCTTTTGTTTTGTAATAGCAATATTTTGGGAGTGTCCTGAGACCTCAACAAATCCAGGCGGGGGCAAAAAAGGAATGCATGTAGGATTCTTAGGGGAGGTTACGCCGCTTCCAAAGTAAGCTTTTGGGCACTAATGACATGTTCAAATGTTATCTGGAAAAAGCCTCTGACATCACAACGCTTCCCACTGGTGGGATCAACCCATTCCTTTGTAAGGGAAGGATATTTTCATTTCTCCCCACCTTTCCGTGCAGCTGATTCTGTAAATATGTAGTGTCAGACACAAAATCTGAATATCTTGTTAGACCCTTTTTGACTCCCTGCTGTGGCCCAAGGCGGGATGCGGGTGGTGCTGTGGGTTAAACCACAGAGCCTAGGACTTGCCGATTAGAAGGTCGGCGGTTCGAATCCCCATGACGGGGTGAGCTCCCGTTGCTCAGTCCCTGCTCCTGCCAACCTAGCAGTTTGAAAGCACGTCAAAGTGCAAGTAGATAAATAGGTACCACTCTGGCGGGAAGGTAAATGGCGTTTCCGTGCGCTGCTCTGGTTTCGCCAGAAGCGGCTTAGTCATGCTGGCCACATGACCTGGAAGCTGTATGCCAGTTCCCTCAGCCAGTAAAGCGAGATGAGCGCCGCAACCCCAGAAGTGGCCACGACTGGACCTAATGGTCAGGGGTCCCTTTACCTTTATGGCCCAAGGCACTTCCAGCAAACCATCATTTGAACCATTTATGAGCTAGGAAGCTGATGTCCTCAAAGGGGCTAGACATATGGGTATTGGCCTCTCTATATCCTCTAAATCAGAGATGAGTGAGCTACCCATCCCACCTCCCCACTGCTGGTGGATTCACTGTGCTCCCCTCAGTCTCCCCCTTGCTCTGGAGCAGAAGCAGGCACCAGATCATCATGCTTCTCAGCATTTCCTAGAGCCAATCAATTGGGCAGCTGAGAAGGGGGTATTACACAGTGTGATTGCTGAGATCCTACTGCTTTCCTACCTGTGAGATGTGTGTGTATCCAAGCATGTGCAACTTCTCACTCACCATCCACTACCAAGTAGGGCCCTTGGGGCCAACAAGATTTCCCACTCCTGCCCCTGTGGGTGTCTAGACTCTGACGAGATGGAAATGAGGCAAATAATCCGGATGAGCAATTGGAACGTGTACATTGGAGTTTTCAACACCCTAAGACCTTGCTTCGTCTGCAACTTGTCCTCTTCAGCTGTTCTGGACACAAGAGGACAAAAGTGTGGCGAGATGCTCTCATCAGCCCTGCCTGAAATGTCCCCATGCGCACTAGGCCTGCCATCCCACTTCTGATCATCTGTTGGCCCTCACCTGAAGAGGACTTTAGATGGATTAAGAGAAAACCCTCTTGCCCATTCTTTGGTCCTCTCTTGCAGGGAGAAGGAATCTTCTGTCCAGCTGAGGATTGCATCCCTGCACAGGCAAACGTCTAGGAACTGCCTGCAGGTGACCAAGGTTAGAGGCAGGGCAAGAAGCAAAAAGGAGTGTGGCAAAGGATGCTGTTTTTGCCTTGGTACACTTGGCTGCTTTCCACTCACACACCTTTCTGTTCTCCATCAAGGCAAGTAAGAGACAGTATCACAGCTGAAGGACACATTCCAGCTAGCTCAAAGCGCTCAAGGAGGCCATTAGAATAGAATCATAGAGTTGGAATAGACCACAAGGGCCATCGAGTCCAACCCCCTGCCAAGCAGGAAACACCATCAGAGCACTCCTGACATATGGTTGTCAAGCCTCTGCTTAAAGACCTCCAAAGAAGGAGACTCCACCACACTCCTTGGCAGCAAATTCCACTGTCGAACAGCTCTTACTGTCAGGAAGTTCTTCCTAATGTTTAGGTGGAATCTTCTTTCTTGTAGTTTGGATCCATTGCTCCGTGTCCGCTTCTCTGGAGCAGCAGAAAACAACCTTTCTCCCTCCTCTATATGACATCCTTTTATATATTTGAACATGGCTATCATATCACCCCTCAACCTCCTCTTCTCCAGGCTAAACATGCGCAGCTCCCTTAGCCGTTCCTCATAAGGCATCGTTTCCAGGCCTTTAAAAAACTAAACGTCAATAGTGAGCTAGAAAGACAATAGTGAAGGTGTGGAAAGTTAAAGGTGCATGCCTGATATGCTACTGCACACATCAAAACTACACTTCTTGAAAAGACACAAGAACGGTGCCAATTAGATCCAGACTTGTGGAGATTACACTTCGGTTCCATTCAGATTTGCTTTTTAAATTTATTTTAAGAACAGCACAGGGAAAATAGGGGTGCAATTTGATGACCTAAGCTGAGTGCTGCCCAGTTGGCACCTGTAACCTTGAAATTATAGCTTTCTCTGTGTGTGGTTAGGGACGCGGGTGGCGCTGTGGGTTAAGCCACAGAGCCTAGGTCTTGCCGATCAGAAGGTCGGCGGTTCAAATCCCCGTGACAAGGTGAGCTCCCATTGCTCGGTCTCTGCTCCTGCCAACCTAGCAGTTTGAAAGCACACCAGTGCAAGTAGATAAATAGGCACCGCTCCGGTGGGAAGGTAAACGGCGTTTCCGTGCGCTGCTCTGGTTCGCCAGAAGCGGCTCAGTCATGCTGGTCACATGACCCGGAAGCTGTACGCCAGCTCCCTCGGCCAATAAAGCGAGATGAGCGCCGCAACCCCAGAGTCGGTCATGACTGGACCTAATGATCAGGGGTCCCTTTACCTTTACTATGTGTGGTTGTTTTAAAAAGTTCTTAGACACCCTCAATTGTTTTTAAATGCATTTTGGTTTGGTTTTTAATTGTATTGTTTTATTACTGTGTTGCTTTCTGCCGTGGTCTTTATTGGGAGGAAAGGGCAGATGGGAATTTAAACAAATAAAAGCACTTTTAGATGTTTTGGGGTTGAGGCGACTGAGAACATTCCCTCAGACTCCTGTTTGTTTGCTGAATTTTGTAACTGTAATAACTAGATAGGTTTCAGCTGCGTGGGTTCTAGCAGAGCTACAGGAAGCTGCCTATCACATGTCACTATTACTAAACATTTACACCTGAATGTTTGGAAAGCAAAGGATCCTCAGGTAAGCAAACATACACAGCAGGAATGCTCAGTTTTGCACATGAGATACACATAAGTTTAGAGAAAGTAGCAGACTCTGGAAATCTTCAACAGCAGAGAGGGTAAGAAATCATGCCTTATGATCCTCTCATTTTCTCTCGTTTTCTGGCATTTTTCACTTCAAAAGTGTTACTTTCTCCCATCTAGTTCCCTCTACATCTTTTTCAGTGATATAGATTTTCTTTGGTTAATGATTGTTTGAAGAACTGTTCCACCTTTTATTTCCATATTATGGGAAATTTATTTACATGATGTTGTAACTAGAAATCTTACTTTCCTCTTTTCTGGAGTGGGGTTTATTTACTGTACTTTCTGAGATGTCATTTTCATTTTTCTGGCTATGTCGGTATATTCTTAAATTTTTAGATGGTGAACTTGACCAGTTTTAATTTACCAGTTTGATGAAATTTAATATAATTATTAACTGAAAACAACAGAGCTCACAATCCCTTCCCCCACAAAACCCCTCCTGGTCGGCTCTACCTTGCTTTCTTTCATTTCAGCAACCTAATTCAGGTTTTCAGCAGGGGCTTTCTCATCTTGTTTTTGTTAAACCATTGTGAATCAGAAACTCTTACTGATGTGCTGCAAATTGTATGAGTTCTGCCATTGCTTCCCATTCTGCCCACCCATGAAATAGAAAAATGGAATGTTGTAAATTGTTAATATTGTAACAGAAAACATGGCAGACCGTGGGAGAAGGTCATTTCCCCCCAAACATGCTTTTCCAGGCAGAATTGGCGTGTTTGACGTAAAGTTGTGATACAGTCCCTGGGTATCTGATGGCTGAAGAGCTTTGCACTGCAAACCAATGAAGTTTAACACACCAAACACACACCAGTGATAGATCCTGATTCTACAGGGCTGCAGAACACCAGTAAAGGTAAAACGGTAAAGGACCCCTGGGCGGTTAAATCCAGTCAAAGGCAACTATGGGGTTGCGGCGCTCATCTCACTTTCAGGCCGAGGGAGCCGGCCTTTGTCCACAGACAGCTTTCTGGGTCATGTGGTCAGCAGGACTAAACCACTTCTGGCGCAATGGGACACCGTGACAGAGTGCACAGAAACACCGTTTACCTTCCCGCTGCAGCGGTACCTATTTATCTACTTGCACTGGTGTGCTTTCGAACTGCTTGGTTGGCAGGAGCTGGGACAGAGCAACGGCAACTCACGCCGTCATGGGGATTCAAACCGCCGACCTTCTGATCGGCAAGCCCAAGAGGCTCAGTGGCTTAGACCACAGCGCCACCCGCACCAGTAATCAAGGTTGTAACAGGAGCTAAAGGGGTGAGGATATTGCACTCTCCAAATGAGCCACATGCTCTCTCACTAAAAATAAAACATTAAAAGCAGAGATTGGATCCAGGAAGAGCCCTACCATGTAGCTTGCCTCTGGAAAGGCAGGGAGTGTACACCAGAATTCCTGGTAGTATTGGCAGAAAGAAAGCTCAGTTTAGGGTTGCCCGGCCACAAACTGGTGATGCCAGGAGTTGGACCAGGTCTGATTCCAAACTGCGGATGGATGAGTCCACCTTAACGGAAAAAGCTGGTTTTATTCTGTAAAGCTATGCATGTAGTAAAGTTTTCAAATCGCTAAAGCAAGAAATCACTTTCTCACAGAATTGGTGGGAAAGTGTTAACAATCCCAGACAACACACTCTCTGATTTTAAAAGGGGAAAAGTTTGATAGCAAGTAAGACCTTCAAAGTCACCATATGGCAGCGGAGTCTTTAAACAAATTTACTTTGGCCTTGTAACTTAAGCAAACACAGCTTAGCAAAGTTAGGACAGGCAGCACTGACCCTAGGAACATTTCCCAAAATGCATGCCGTGAAACATGGGTAGGCAAACTAAGGCCCGGGGGCCGGATACGGCCCAATCGCCTTCTAAATCCAACCCGCAGATGGTCTGGGAATCAGCGTGTTTTTACATGAGTAGAATGTGTCCTTTTATGTAAAATGCATCTCTGGGTTATTTGTGGGGCATAGGAATTCGTTCATTTTTATTTTTTTCAAAATATAGTCCGGCCCACCACAAGGTCTGAGGGACAGTGGACCGGCCCCCTGCTGAAAAAGTGTGCTGACCCCTGCCGTGAAAGATGTTTGGATGGGGGAGAAAATACTTGGCTTCTGTGCCAGGAGGAATCTTGGGGGACTGGTTAGGAGTTGTACTTGCAGACAAATTCCAGTTCTTTATGAATTAGAACTTTGCTTCTTACTGATATACATTTAAG